TTTTAAAGGAAGGAGAACAAAAGAACAAATAGATACACTGATTTATTGATGGAGAGAGAGGAAGGGAAGGGAAGGAAAGGGAAGGGAGAGTAGCAAATTTTTATTTTTGTTTTTCGGCAAATTTTTGTTTGTTGTAGCCGAATTATATATTTTGGCATCAACGTAATATGAGACCATCCTTGAAAGTTATGATTATGATTATAGATTTTTTTCCCCCTTAATTATGAATATAGATAACATATTTTTTCTTTATTTAAGGCATACTGCAATTCATGCTCTTCTTGCTTACTGGAGGGGGAATATATGCAATAGTCATTTTTTTTAATGAGTTTTTCATACATCATTTTACCTATAAATAGCCTATATTGTGTTGAAATTTCGCACAAAACTACCGTGACAATTCTGTTTTAACTTTAATCTCAACTTTTCTTGCAGCTGGACTCGCTAGGATTGAAGGTATTAGCAGCTGGACTCGCTAGGATTGAAGGTATTATCTGTCTGATATTAATTACATTCGTACCATGCTATATTATTAATTGTATTGTGCTTAATTTATAGTTGGATAGTTTTCAAGTTCTCATATGAATAAATTAGTTTTTAAATTTTTTTTTTTTCTCAGTATAAGATGGAACTTTTCTCATATGAGGATTAAAGTATTTATGTGTCCTATGAGTACACCCAGAGTATTTTTCTTAAAGCTTGTGGTGGGTGATATGGGTAAGAAAAAAAATAAAATTTAAACATGAACCAACCCCATCCTGTTGGGGGATAATCGGGTATTTTTTCAGCGTCTCCCACATTCATCTCACATTATTAGGGACTGACTCACTCTATCTGGATCCCTATCTCTATCTAACACCTCTCTCTCTCTTATCTCGCTCTTTATCCTGTAAATCTGCACTGCAATATCTTTTCCTCACATGCTCTCTCCTTAGAAGAGAAGACTGATGAATTTGTATATATAGTTATATACAATTTCTGCGAGTATTGTTAGGTCTCCATTTTCTCTCTCCACAAATCTTCATAATCTTCTAAACCTCCTCTGAGAAAGGCAGTATATCCAACTTGGCATCCTCGAACATCATGTCCTCGAATATCGCCAGACGAACACCCACTCGGTTCCTTCAAATTTTTTAGTCCTTGAATTTTTTTTTTTTTTTTCCTTTTTTTTGGTCGCCCTGTTCTTCGGCTTGGTGGAGGTTGGGAATTTTTTGACACGGATGAGCATGGAGATTTTTGTGTTGGAGAGGAAGTCACTAGAGAGGTTGAAAAATACTCGATTAAACAAAGATTGGTTTGGTCCATGTTAAAAATCTTAAGTTTTTAGACAACCGTGTAAAATTTATTGGGCCTAAGTCACCAAGCAGGACAACCTTTGTCGTCATGGACAAACTCCACCTGTTTTTGTAATGATGAGTATGAATTGTAATAACCAACTAGTTTGGTATGTACTACCCAAAACCGATAAAGATGAATATCAACCCACTATTGTTAAGATGAAAAGATGATCGAATATCAACCCACTATTGTTAAGATGAAATTTTCTTCTACTCCGTCAATTAGTTAAGTCTCAGTTTCTAAATTAGAAATCAACCACGGAGATTGAAGTGAATAGAGGAATATTTACTACTACAACCAAATCTTAAATTCACTAAAAGTTGGGATATAATTTGTAATTTTATTCTTGTACAAAAACGGAGGAACATGATTCTACTAGACTTCTCTCACGTACTGCTATTCAACAAATACTATCACCATAAAAATATGATATATTATTCTTAACAATAAAAGTAAATTATACCCTCAATTTCTAAATAAATAAAAAATCCAATATGTCCCTAACCTACAGCTGTGCCTTCATCCATCAACATGCGATTCAATTTTTCGTAAGAGGCGAGCGAGCAAGATGTTCTGATGTATAAATTGTAGCGTCATTATTATAAATCAACTTATTGTTGGGATGAAATTTTCTTACATTGTTGTAACCATCAATATATATAGTGGGATAAAATATTATTTTCTTACTGAACTCATCGAATATTTTACAATCCAACAATAAGTTACACGCAGTTTCTGAATAGCAACCAACCATGGAGGATGAAGTGAGTAAAGATATTATTACTTGGGATCTAATAAGGCAAGGCAAGTATAGGATGATTGGTTCTCACTCCTGTACAAATATTCAATTGAAATTGAAAGTTTTACTCTCTTTATATTCTAACGTCTTTTCCAAGTGAAAATTTAACTAACTAAACCGCTGACTATACCACCACAATCACCAATCTATATATAAATACTGTTTTTAAATAACATCAATTTCTTTATATTCTAACTTCATTGTGAAGTGAAACTTTTAACTACTTCAAGGGTTAACATAAATTTGGAGCAGTATTTTTCTGAACATACCGATAAGGTTACGGTATTGGAAAACGTGTCTCTATGCGTAACCCTGCATCCCATCATGTGGTCACAGTTCGTGGTAGAGACGGGTTTACATCCCCGATTTCACTATCACAATCTCCACCGGTCCAGGTGCATGAACTTGAGAGGGGCATTACATCTTTCTCATTTATTGATAGTGTGACATCCACATCATCTCAAGCACTTGGTGGAGATGGTTACTAGAATGAAAGAAGGCGTTGTCAAATCAAATCCTAAATACTCTCTTGTCTGTCACTCTCCCCCTAAAGAACCTAAGACGATCAAGTCAGCATTGAAGCATCTCGATTGGCTCGCTGCTATGCAAGAACTACTTTCTGCATTTCGGCAAAACGACACCGACTATAAATGTGGTGGGAAGCAAAAGGGTGTTCAAATCTAAATTGCATGCAGATGGTACTTTGGAATGCCCTTGGTGACTATAGGGTTACACAAATCCCTAGCCTTGACTTCCTAGAAACTTTTATCTTGTAATTAAGCCTGTGTTCTTGGAACAACTTCCGGAGTTCAAATATTAGACTCAATCAAGTCATGTTTGTGAATTAAAAAAGGCCTTGATAGTCTTCGGCAAGTACCTTGGACCTGGTTTGATCACTTTACTACATTTCTTGTTGATTTTTTTTTATTTTTTTATTTTTTTAAGTATTGCAGATTCACCTCTTTTTATCTTCATAAGAAACAATAATTAACACTTATCTTGCTTTATGTGGACAATATTATATTAGCAGGAAGCAATCCTTCTACTCTAGCCAAACTCGTCCACAAATTTTCCATGAAAGATCTTGGATATTTGCATAATTTTTTCGAAGTTGTTAAGAAATTTGATGGAGGTTTATTTCTTCACCAAATTAACAAAAAATACTTATGAATTATTAGAGCAAGGTCATATGAGAGATTGTTACACCGATGAGTTCCAAGTTAAATAATCAAGGAATGAGACTCATTTTTTCGACCCCTGGTTGCCTAAAAACTCAGATTCACCAGGCCTGATATCAGCGTGAACTATGCTTATCAACATATGCATTGGCCAACTCGGTTTCATTTTCATTTGGTAGGGAAGATCTTGCGTTATATAGATGGGATAATTACTGCAGAATCCACCTTGTCAGAGACCAGTTATACTCTAACTTCCTACTTAAGTATACATGGTTGCAGTCTTTCTTTTTCCCTTTCGAAAGGTGGGCTGCAGAGTCCCTTAATTTGCCTTCCTATACATGGAGGTTTGTTTTTTACATACGGAATGAACTTCTATTTTATTTTATTTTTATATTGGACATAAATTTCTTTTATATATACTTCATTCTTAAGAATTGAATCAAAGATTGTAATACCCCGTAATTTTACGGATTAAATAAATGGGATTATTATGCTTTTAAAATTGAGTTTAGATTAAATAATTATGTGTTTATTTGTGTGTATTTCGTGTTGTTGTTGTGTTATATATTTTATGGGTTTTTAATGCATTGGGTCGTGTTTATTGGGTCGGGCTTTATGCTGCGGGGTCATGGGTGGGAGTTGAGCCTAGTGATGGGTTTAGTTGGTTAGTTTTAATATTACAATTAGCTTAGTTAAAGGGGATTACAAACTTTACGTATAGAGAGATAGGTGAATCAGAATTCAGAAACCCAAGGCTAAAGTTTCGACTGAGTGCATTCTAGGTCGTGGAAGGGAAATTAGGAGAGGAATGCGATCCTAAGATAAAGGCTTGAGGATTCATATTGCTACCCTACAATCCTCACAATCCGTGAGGCAGGTACCTTTCTTCTCTTTCCCTTTGGACCTATAAACGTTATTTCAGCTTTGTGAAACAATATATATATATATATATATATATATGCACCTTCAAAATATAAAACGATTATGAGATTCTATACTGGATTATATAAACGCCTCTATTAATTATGAACTGCATTTTTAAATCTGTTAGAGATGAGAAACATGCACACCTTTGTAGCCAGTGGGTGGACCAGAATAGGACTGCCATGGGAAAGAAAACAAAAAGGCATTTTATTAGGCATAAGACAAGTTTGATCCTGGAATCATTTAGAAAAAAAGAAATATTATAGACATTTGGGATAGTTTATAATAAAAATTTGAAAGCATTATAATGTTATTGAGATACGTCATCATATGCATCCATCATTCGATTTTATACTCTTACCATTAATTAATTTATGCGTTATCAAATAAGTGTTTGACGTTTCTTTTGTCATAACATAGTTGAACATAATCCTTATAGAATGACTTAAAATTGCATTTTTAAGTTTGTAATAATTTGATTTAGATGCTAATTACTTGTACCTTTCATCAACTCCTGTTCTTGGGATGCATTTCTCAAGCATTGCATCTATTGGAATGTGATAATATTCAGAAGTAATAGTTGAAGCTTCTTTATCATGTCTTGTACTCTTACATTATATTTAAAGCGTCTTGAATTTGGAATTTTTTGAAAGTTACTTCAACGTTTAAATTGGAATTTTCTCCAATTCAGCTTTTCAAATTCCAAGGCACTGATTGGGTGCTTCCAATCGCAATATTATATAATTTAGAAATCTGTCATTATTACTATGGTATCCATATATGCTATCCGCACAGATGTTATGAGAGATGCAACCTGGGAGAGTTTGGGATGAGCAAAAGAAGCCTTCAGTTTGTATGTTATTTGGCTGCAGCAAATAATATTTGAACCAGAAAGGTCCAAACGGCTTGCTTGGACTAAAACCAGTGTCTTGATTGACACCATTGGGTCCTATTTCAAAAGCCGGAGTGTGACGAGGTTGGATAACTCTGGTGATTCCAGAGCTTCTCTCTGCCGCAATGGCAACGTTGTCCCTGTCCCTTCGTCAATCGATCACAAGGTTTGTCCCTCATCACTTTGTTTCTCTGTTTGCAATTCTGTTGGATCGATCTACTGCTGTGGTCTTTATTCTAATATGATTGTTGTTGCAAATTGTGGTGACTCTAGAGCTGTTCTCTGCCAGAGCGTTGTATCTCTATCAATAGATTAAAAGGTTTGTTCCTCATTCAACATTTACTTCCTTTGTTTCTCTGTTTCCATCAGAGTTTTTTTTTTTTTTTTTTTTTTTTAAAAAAAAAAAAAACACACTTTTTTGCCCACGCCCGAACCTCTCCCTCCTCTTTGAGGTTAAGGGAGGTATTTGAGAGAGAGTACTCTAATACTCCTTATATGATATATGTATTTATATAAGTAGCAATTTTGATATTTATGTTTTGAGACTGCTATTTTTTTTAGGTGGAGTAGAATAGGAAACATGGATGAGGACATGGATTGAAGGAGGTGATCGATAAATACCAGGTTGAAACAGAACTCTTTTAGGAGGTGATCCCAGGTTGAAGCAGAACTCTTTAGTGTGCTTTAAACTTCTGCACGGGCTGTCCCGCTTGAGAAGAGCTACTGCATCCTCCTCATTACAAATGCGTCTAAAGACTGTTGAAAATAAACTTGATTTTAGTATTTAGTATTTCAAGTATTTTTGTATCCATGATGCATATGTTAATTTAGCATGTTAGTGGGTAGTAAATTGTCTTAGTGGGAATTAAGGTTATGTAAAATAAAGAGTCATGAGAGTTAAGCCTAACAAATACTATGTTAGTGGGAGTTATGCATATTGAAGATTATGTTAGTGGGAGTTATGCATATTGAAGATTATGTTAGTGGGAGATAGGAGAGTTATGGATATTTAAATGTAATGGTTACACATACATATGTGAGGCCTATATATTCATGTACTCTAGTCAAATGAATCATCAAGTGAAATAAAAAATATTTTCCTCCATTTCTATTCTCTTCCAAATAGTATTGTGTTGTGTGTGTAACTAGGCCACTATTTCCAACAAAGTTGGTATCAGAGCCAGATTTCATGTTCAAAGCCAGATTTCATGTTCAGAGCCTAGACGATCTTGAAGGCCAGACGAAGTTGATCCTAGAAGGTTCAACATTTGAGAAAAACATGTTTCTCCTTGATGATGATGAAGGGGAGAAAATGTATTTTCTTAGTGAAAAGATGATGTTCTCTAATTACAAAAGAATGAGAATCATCATGACTTCATACCTCAAAGCATGCGATTTGTGGGATGTTGTTGGAGAAGAGCCAAAGAATGGCATGTCCAACAAGCTTCATGAAAAGAAAGAAGATAAGGCATTGGTAGTGTTGCAAAAGGCAATACATCAAGAAATTTGGGAGTATTTTGGAGAGTCCAAAACTCCAAATTGTATTTGGAAGAAGCTCGAGACCATCGTTTCCAATCATAGAGGTGAATCACTACCCATGGAGTATTGGGTACAATGCTTTGAGAATGATGTGTTTACGAAAGATGATTATGAAAGTCTTGAAGATAAAGTTGTGGAGAATGAAGAGATGTATCATGCAAAAGAAGTTGAAGATTTTGGAGATTCAAAAGTTGAAGGAGAATTTGAAATGGTGGATAAGGAAGAGGTAAGAAAAGGTGTTAAAGAAGAGATTGAAAAAGTGAAGGAGGATGAAGTGAAAATAGAAGATTTAGAAGAAGGAAGTGCTAAAGAAGAGGCAAAAGTTCAAATTGGTGAATTAACATCTTCAGGTATGGTTACAAATTCCACCTTGAAAGAAGTTATATTTGACTTATTTGATGAAATTATTATTTCTTCATATTCATCAAATAATGCTTATTTTGTGGAGAATGATGAACTTCTCTTAAAGAAAGTTGTTCCAAAGAAGTATGAGATTGAAGCCCAGGATGATAAGAAATTCTCATATTATTTTTTAAAAAATAGTTTGGAGAATTTTGTAATTGATACAGGTTGGGTGAATATGGAATTATTTTTTGACTCTAAAGAAGAAGTATATGTGAAGTTGAAGATCCATAAAAAATTTAAGAAAAAAAAGATCGATGGTGTGCTTGTATAAAGAGGATGATATATGATTATGTGAAGACATCAAACAAGCATTTGAAGAAGTTTCACAAGCCCTACACATCAATGGAAATGGCCAAGAAGATTGAAGCTATTGAAGGAGGTGGAATTGAAGATCAACTATCGAACTTTTAATCAAGCCCCCAAGATTAATAAGAAGGTTTTTCAAGTTACAAAATCAAGTTTAAAGGGGGGTGTTGAAAATAAACTTGATTTTAGTATTTAGTATTTCAAGTATTTTTGTATCCATGATGCATGTGTTAATTTAGCATGTTAGTGGGTAGTAAATTGTCTTAGTGGGAGTTAAGGTTATGTAAAATAAAGAGTCATGAGAGTTAAGCCTAACAAATATTATGTTAGTGGGAGTTATGTATATTGAAGATTATGTTAGTGGGAGATAGGAGAGTTATGGACATTTAAATGTAATGGTTACACATACATATGTGAGGCCTATATATTCATGTACTCTAGTCAAATGAATCATCAAGTGAAATAAAAAGTATTTTTCTTCATTTCTATTCTCTTCCAAATAGTATAGTGTTGTGTGTGTAATTAGGCCACTATTTTCAACAAAGACATCCCCAACGGAGTCTGCCCACAAACTTCAGCAATTTCAACACAGCTAGGTTAGAGAATTAGAAACGAAAATATACAATATAGATATATGTATATATCTATGTTAGTTGTCTATATAGATGTAAAGATAAATTCTACATACAAGGGGGCTTTGAGTTCCCGGCAGCCAGCCCCAAAACGGCTTCTAAACAAAAGAGGCCCGTCCTTGACAAAAATATATATTTTAGCTGTATTCCTTAAGAAAAATAGAATTTTCACTTTATAGTTATGTCAAATCTTTTAATTTACTAGGGTACATCATACGGATTTCTGTAGCACAAACCCTGACAAAATCAGAATTAGACAGAAGAACCTTTCGAATGGTATTGTGTTGTTCGAATGGTATTGTGCGTCCGATAAAAATGTTGATCTCAGAATGTTGATCCTCAGATCCAACCAAAAGTTTCTCACGGCAGCAAGGAGTTTTTATTACACTATATTATGTACTCTTGGATATCTGTTTTCACATTTTTAAAATACACTTTGAGTTGGTAGGTTAATTTTCTTCTCCACTCGTTTCTGTAAATGCCAAGATGGAGTAGTTGCCTGAAATCGTCCAAATGATCTCCTCTCTTTTGTTGGACGTGTGGAATAGTTGCTTCTGAAATCTTTTAAATGATCATCTCTCGTTTGTTACAATGAGCAGTAGTTGCCTCTAAAATCTTCCAAATGATTTTCCGTTGTTTGTTATAATGAGAATATAGATGTTAGAGGTAGAAGTTGGTGGAGTATTTTTTTTTTTTTTTTTTTTTTAAACTCTCTTTTTCTATATGTATTTTTCACTAAATCTTCATTTTCTATATATATATAATTTTTTTTGTCAAAAAATCCCCCCTCAACTATTAGAGGGGGGTGATTTAAGTAACTTCCGTTACCTAACTATTAGAGAGGAGTGATTTAATTCTCATATATATATATATATATAGTAAATAAATTTCAAGAAAAAAAAAATTTAGATTTATATTAGAAAAAAAAAACTAGGCATTATTTCTGATAGTGTCTCTTTAATAAATCTATATAAAATGAAAATCAATAAAAACCAAATAAATGAATGCACAATATAATTTTCAAATATATATATATATATAGCAAATAAATTTCAAAAAAAAAAATACCTAGATTTATATTGGGAAAAAAACCATTGCAACAACATGTACTCTTCTTCTTGTTCAACTTCTTTTATTAACCCATCATTATAATATTATATATAATTTGTATCATAATATAATGGTATATAAAATATGTATCATTAAATATTATTTAAATATATTTTCATTTCCATCTAACCTTCAGAGTAATATAAATCTAGGTTTTTTTTTGCTTTTTTTTTTTTTTTTAGGAAAAATTTCTAGGTTTTTTTTTTTTTCCTTGAAATTTATTTGCTATATCTATATATATATATATTTGAGAATTATATTGTGCATTCACTTATTTGGTTTTTATTGATTTTCATTTTATATAGATCTATTAAAAAGGGACACTACCATAGAAAAGGGGGGTTTAATGTAGTTGACCCTTATTATTATTTTTGATAATAAGTTTGAAATAAGAGCACAAAATAAATTATTGAATTATTTATCTCAAAAAAACAAAAAAATTCAATTTGCAGCCAAAAAACCCAATTTTGTTGATTTAGGGGAATTTTTGTTGAACAATTACCAAAAATACAACAGAGATGAGAGGAGGACAGAACAATTGGAAAAAACTGTACTTCCAACCCTAAAAAATGGGAGAGAGAGATTGAAATGTTGAATAATAGAGCAAGTCAATCGGGGTGTACATAATTGGGAAACAAATATAACAGAAGCGGGTTGATTTTAAGCAACAAAGGAATGCATGGTACAGCTCCAACCGAGAAACTCGAAAGCAATACGTCTATAAAGGTGTAAAAGTTGTTGATCTACTTTAGGGCCCACCTATAAAAGCTTGATAATTGTAGTCAAAAAGTCTAAAAAGATGCCCAAGTTTGACAAATTTGCTTTACGTGCTTATAAATTCAGACATTCAAAAGAGAAATAATGTACATAAATTTATTTATTTATTATTATTATTATTATTTTTGACACTAACGAACCGAAACTTCAAAGGAAATAGATACATGATGAGAGAGCCTGTAAAAGGCATTCCAAATGCTCCAGTCTGAATTATCAATTCCGATTTTTATCGTGTTCTTGCTCAGTAAATGAGCAACACCATTACGACAACGGAAAATCTGAGAGGAAAAAACCCGAACAACCTAGAAGAGTAGAGGACACATCATTGAGAGTCACCATCTGAGCTTCCACTGAAGCTTGCAACTTCATCTATGCCGCCTTCAATTACCAAATGCTAATGCACATAATAAAGCCTTCTGCTTCTAGTTCAGAAATTTTCAATTTTCACGACTCTAGTCACATAACATAAAAGCACCATCACTTCAAGTGTGTACAGTGTGTGTATATATATATAGATGTGTGTGTGTGTGTGGACATGCAAACGAGCTGTCTCGCTCCATGTTCTTCAATGTAAGATGCTCGTGGGTTAGGACTTCATATTAGGAAGTACCCATCACAAAATCATCACCAAAAAGGTAAATCATCCTCTCTCTTCTCCATGGATCTCCTCCACACTTCATTTCATCCTCTCCTTGATATGGCAATAGTTTGGCTCTACACAGAGGACAAGTTACTTGATCTACATCGATCCAAGCATCGAGGCACTTTCTATGAAACACATGACAACAGTTGAAGAGCTCTCTAACCTCATCACCACCCTTCATGCGCTCCAAGCACACCGCGCAAAGTGAATTAACTTTACATACTCCTACCCTTTCAAGAACACAACTATAGTCAAGTACCGGGACTCGATCCTTGATAGCGCCGACTATGCAGAGGACGGGGACCGGAACCAACAAAGGAGAGGGACGATATTGTGCAGCAGAGTCATTAATGGTGTGTTTATCAGATAATGCTCTATTTGGAAGAGGGATACAAGAGAACACCACTATGAGAATGTCTTTGAGAAGAAGACCTAATAGGTTGAGAAGGACCTTGCACAAGTACATTGGCATGAGTTTTGTTGTGATAAAACAAAGAGAACCCATAAATGCAATGTTGTTGAAGGGCTGAGACTCAAAAGGGGTGTATTTATATATGGAGAATGAAGGTGTTTTTAATTTGCAGATCACTGTGAGCTTTGAAGCAATAAAAGGCATGGGCCATCCATCAAAAAATATTGACTTGGAAAAAGTGTGATGTTGTTTTGTAGTATAGGACGGTGCG